ACTTAGCTGATAGCACTAGGGGAACGATGTTAGAGGTTTGAGGAAAGAGGGGGCAGTGTGAAGTAATCATGGGCCGGGGGGAAAGAGGGATGAACAGGCGGAGTGTAGAGGATTTTTAAGGCAAGAAACTACATTATATGATAACAGTGGGTATGTGCCATTTTACATTTGTCCAAACCCACAGAATGTACAACACCAAGAGTGAACCCTAATGTAAGCTATGAACTTAAGGGTGATGTGTCAGCGTAGGTCCATCGATTGTACCAAATGTAAGCACTCTGCCTGGTGCGGGCTGTTGATCATGGGAGATGCTGTCTGAGTGGGGCAGAGGGCATATGGGAAATCCCTGAACCTTCACTCAATTTTGCTGTGGACCTAAAGCTGCTCTAAAAAATAAAGTCTATTATCCAAGTAAATAAATAAATAAATGATCCTGAGAAAGTAAACTGACTAGGGAAGATTTTCTCAGCCCTATTAGACCAATGACCCCTTTTATAACATATTTTTAACACCATTGCTACTACTGTAAAAATAAAGTAACAATTATGTTAACCTACCTACACATATATTTTAAGTCAATATAACGCCCTTGCCATAGTATAAAGAAATAAAAGAAAAATAACTCATAATAAAATAACATGCATTTCCATACGTAAATTCTCAAGCCTGAGTCCACTTGGGAGACCAAAAGCATTTCTACAAAAATACTTAATGCCCTCTAGGGGGTGATATTACCCTTGATGAGGATGATTCTATTGCCTGACATGATGTAAATGTCCAGGGACCCCTTCCTTCCAGAAAGTATAAGCCGTTCAATGTCATTAGAAATCACTAAAATGGCAACATTGAAAGGGTGTTAAATATACGATTTACTTTCCCTCTGAACGAGCTGTAAGGAGAAAGGTATCAACAACAACAACAGGAAGGCATCAGATGAACAGAAAAAGCAATCCAGTATCCTGAAATGGAGCTGTGGGAAGGGCTCCACGCAGAGGAAGCACATGCAAGGCACAGAGGCAGAAAGGGCAACAATATTTAGGAGCATTAACGAGACACTGGTATAGAAATGGCGGGG